TCGCCTTATAAACGTTGAAAAGTGTACTTATAATAATACGTGTAGAACAATGACAAATTCTTCAAATAACGCAAACACTACGTTATACAAAATATTATGGAATCTGATTATTCGAGTAATCATTAAACATATTTTGCTCAAAGTTATTATTCATCAAATAAAATAATGTGATATATTTTTGCACTTTAAATTCAATCAGGCAATTGTAATTTTCTGGTACATATAATACACTTACATACAACAGATCGTACGAAAAATCAGTAGAACGGTCGATAGCAAATTCAAAGATAATTATATTAGGTACATTTATACAGTGATGATCGTATCAAATTTCTGAACTGAGGTCAACTGTGTTTTAGATTGCTTATAGTAAATAATGTTTAATTGTTTTAATTATATCGATGGCATTATTTTATACTCCTTTCTAGACGAGATTTATTCTTCAACCATACGAGATAATGACACGCAATTGAATATTAAAGTTTACATATCTTTAGGAAAACGCTTTCCAAAAGTACGTATAAAAATTTATCACATCAATATTTGCTAGTAGCAGATATGTATCCATACAAGTACCTGATTAAACTCTAATGAACTCCTTCTGTATGAATTAGACGATAAGTATGAACCATGTTAGTACGATTAGAATAAGGGTTCGTACATTTTATTTTCATATCAAATTGCTGTTATACTTAAAAATTATGGACATTTGTTAAAAACAGTAGGTATTTAATGATTTCATTTTCTCCAATCATAATTTTTTAAATATCTACATTATTTACTTCTGAAGTTAAACTATAGTTTTGTATTTTAACTGAAGTATATAATTATCATAAAACACAATCACTGGTTTCCAAAAGTCATTATTTTATTTTATATTTATGCAGACACACACTGCACATTATTCTATACATATAATGGTGTATTTGGTGCCCGTATATTATAATATATAGACTTTGCGTTACGATAAATGTTGAAAAATACCTCTCACGTTTGCAAAACTTTCGTTTCACGTTCTACTGTATAATATTAGGAAACAAGGATTAAATGGTTTTAACGCAATATTACGTATGTGTCTAAAATAACGTCTTTGTATTATCTGACCATTATTAACCGCACTTTGACAAGATGATTCATTTAGAAATAAAATTAATTTTCTTTTTCTTTTGCAACACTATTTAATACTGGCGATACCTTGATGCATTAATGACGTTTGCATTAAAATTATCAAATGACCAGTTAACTAAAATGTTACGTATGTCACGAGTAAAACAATATACGGTCAGAGTAGACAACGGACTTATAATTTATAAATATTTAATTAATGAAGTAGATGTTTAAATATTAATCATAAAGACTGGATAAAGAATTAGAAATTTTATAACTTGCATGTATTATTATAATATTATTACAATGTGCGGAGCAGAAACCGGAGATAGTCAGAGGTAGCAGTGAACTGTAAAATTGAGAAGGGTTACGTTTTGCTTTTGTAATAAGTATCCATTTATACTCGGAAGAAACGGCGAGCACTACAGAGTACTGTACGTCTTACAGGCTTAAACAAATGAGAGAAGAGATATATCATCTCTTTATCGAGAAAACTTGCGAATTATTCATTACTGAGAATTAAAATTAAAAAATGTTCGTACACGTATTCGATTGTAAATACTCGTAATACAATTGACAGTTTTCAACATGAGTATAGTTAAACGATCATTATTAAAATTAACGTTATAATTCTGATGCTGAGAATCACAATTCCAAAGAATACTTATATTGAAATATTAACATACAATTAATTTATAGTAACAATAAAATCATTATCATGATATATTATTTTCATTTAATACACATATTTAACTGCTATTATACATAATAAATGTTAAAAGCTAACAAATATTAGTATCTAATCACATAATTTTACTTTCGAAATAATTATTGAAATATATTACATACCTAATTATGTTTATGTACATTCATTAAATCTCATTTTTTACTCAATTTTCTTAAAAAATAAATAATAATAATAATAATAATAATAATAATAATAGTTACATCCGAAAAAAAAGCATGTTTGGAATCTTACTTTTCTTGATCGAATTTTTTATGATGCAGTGATTATATAACTTCTTGATTTATCGAGTTTTGAGAAAATAATTTTCTTTAGGATGTTGTCATTACATTATATGGAAATCAAATTACTATAATAAAATCATAATAATTAACAAATTATATTTTGTTGTACATGAAATGTTCAGAAAATAAATTTTAAAACCATAAAGTTTTATAATTTATTAATAACTTCTTGTAACTTGGATTTGGTATTTAATTAAAATTGAAACACTATCGTAAATTAAGTAATTACAATTCGATAGCTTCTTACATTTAAAATCACCAAATAATATCACAAATAAATAAAAACGATGTATAAATCTAATTATTACTTAAGACTTAACATACTAAAATATCGTTTATTTCAGAAATTATAAGTATTTCAGATGACTGGTACACTACTTAAAATATAACTCTAAAATGTTAGTGATTGAGTAATCGTTACAAACTACTTCGTGGTATTATGGTTGTAATTAGTAAACTTGTTTGATTAATATTTAATTATTAGACTGAAATTTTTTTATTGTATCTTGTACATAAATATTCTGTAAGTTGAAGCATTATAATTATTATTAAACATTTGTCAGATATTTTAGTTGTGCAGATTAAAAAGTAATAAAGTGCATTATCATTATTCCGAAAAAAGTATAATTAAAATACTATTTTATAAGTTTCATTGAAATGTAACTAATACATTTTATAATAGGCGCATGTACTGTAATTTTTCGATGCAAATTAAATTCTAACTCATTTTAATGTCAAATATTTCAATAGCGATTACAAAGATTGGTGGGTAAAGTGACTGATTTATGTTTTTCTCGATAATTCGTGTGGAACTTTTTTTAACAATTTATTACAACCCATTGCAAGTCAATTAATAATTAATATAAAACGCCATTTACTTTTGTCTGCAGAATAAAACGTAACAATAATTATATAATTTTTATAATTTTAATATATTTTATTATATAATATAATATATAAATATCATTTTTATAATTTCGTTTAGTTACCCTATTTTAGATTAGTTAATGTAAAACAACATGAAGTTATTTTTCACTTGAGATGAAATATGTTTCTTGGTATTTATATAGGTTTCTTAATTTTAACAATAGTAGTAAAATTAAACTTCCGAAATGCTTCAACGTTACAATAGACGCATATTATATGTATAGAAAAATACTATTTAATTGTATCGTTACGGTGTGCTTAGCCAGTTAAGATTTACGAGCTTACTACGTTTTCATGAACGGATTATATTAAAGTAAAATGTACAAATTCATATTGCATGACATTAATTATTAAGACGACATAACATTTAGTGCAACGTTAGACTAGTTTTATTTAAAAGTTATTAGCACTGGATTGTTGGACGCTCGTGGATAATAAAGCGTTCATTACCACGTTGCTATTGAGAATGTTACATTTATCATAATGTTACGTGGAAATTAAAAGTTCGGTTTATCTTGGAACAAGGATCGGAACGAGTGTTAATTGTTTTTCGCAACATTAAACATTTTTGAAAAACGACGTTGATAAACTGCGTTCGGCGCTTACATATCGAACCCACGAGTACTTCAGGAGAGAAGTACTACACGTGTAACTTTCTGAACTTCTTCCTTCACCTGACGAAGTAGAAAAGTTTAAGACTAAAAGCTTTGTCATACGGGAAAACACAAGATCTCAAAAGTCATAAGAAAATTATAGAGTGATACGAAATGTGACAATATACTGTAGTATTATCGTACACTACGATTTCGCCGACGAAATATTTAGTTACCGACTACAAATAACATTAATATTTAGGGAAAATATTTGTAGCGTTAATAGGTATTTGTTGTACAGAACAACATGAATAGTTGGAACCGTTAGCTAAATATTGCAATTAGTGATTGACTCACGGATACAGTTACAAGAAATAGCTAACGTTAGATCCAGGATCATGTTGGAATGTTGAATGTATAATTCCATTCAGTGTATAGCTATACACACTTGGCTCAAAAAATTAGTAGAAAAAAAAAGTAAAAACGTTTTATCGTTGTTAAGAGAACACTAGATGATCTATTATCATTGATCTATTTTTGACAATTGTAAATAATTGTTGCCTATTGTATTGCTAGTTATAACAGAAAGTGTGTATGTACATAGTCGTATATACATTGCATATTCTTATTGCACACATAAGGCACAAAAACTACGTACTACGTACGGTTAATAATCGTCAATTGCTCAGTTGTCCGTTGATATTTGTGCATGACACTTGTACCATACATATTTACATATTTCGTAATTATTACGTTTAGCAGTGAAAATCTTTTAAAACGGCTTCTCGGTCGAACATTGCAACGAAAAGGATAAGAAACGTTTTATCGCTCGTGCGAAAAATCAAAATTCCGGACAAACGTTCGGTTTCGTTTGCAAGTTTGCTGGAAAGCAACCTCCTCGCGGACAACAAGGGGTTACTGTACTTCACGCGGTCACGATTCCCATCCAAGACTGGACACAGGACTGCACATGTCACGTCGTGCGCAGACGTGTGCCAGTTGCGGTTCGCTCCCGACCCTGGACGAGTCTTCCGACGTGTATCGACCCTCGCCCGGAATCGTTCCAACGTTGGACATGCGTCACTCACCACGTACGCATCGCCGTGACGGACAGTCGTGCGGCCAACGTTCGAAGGTATTGGACGCGGCCTTGGTCGAAATATTGGTGACGAAGGCGCCGCGGTGACACCTTCGTGGGAATCCCGTCACGTCGTCCACACGTGACACGCGATAACATCTCGCACGCGCAAACGACGATCGCCACGTTCGACGGACGGACCCCGGCGATAAGATCGTGACAGCGGTGGCCGCGGACGGGTGCCAGTCGACGGACGTACGCGCAGCATGTCGGGTCGGCCGGGGAAACCGGCGATTGCGCTGGCCGTCGCGGCCTTCGCCTGCGCGACCGGTTGGACGGCGGCCCGCCTGTCGCCGGTGGCCGTCGCGCCGGACTCGTACCGCGCCCGGGACAACGATGTTCTGCTCGCGTGCCGCGCGATCGTGCGCGACGTGCAACCGTTCGTGTTCGTGGTGCTCGTGCTGCACCCGGTCGACCCGCCGCCGGACCGGCTCATGGCGCTCGTGCATCGGGTGGTCGGCACCGCGGTACTGTCGGCGGACACCGGCGCCGCGGCCCGGATGGACGGCCAGGTGGCTCTGATCGTGGCCGGTAGCGCGGGCGCCGTGGCCGCGCTCATCGACGCCGGCCAGTCGACCGCCGTCTGGGATCCGATGTCGCACTACATCTGGCTGGTTCCGGCCGCCAGCCGCTCGGCCGTCCGGTCGTTGTTCCGCAACGCGTGGCGCCGCCGCTCCGTGGTCAACGTGGTGCTCGTGACCGACTCGGTCGCGTACACGTACAACCCGTTCAACGACACGCTCGCCGCTCGGCCCGTGGACGCGGACGCGCTGCGCGACGAGCACCGGCACAAGATGGACGACCTGCACGGGCACCCGGTGCGCGTGTGCATGTTTCCCACACCGAACGCGGTCAGACAGCCGGACGGCACGTACGCGGGCACCGACGGCCTGGTCGCGTCCACGCTGTCCAAGCACATGAACTTCACGCCCATCTACAACGAGCCCACCGACGGCCGGAATTACGGGTGGGCCGAGAACATTTCCGAAGTCGAGTTCAGGTACACCGGCCTGCTGGGCGATCTGGTCCACAACAGAGCGGACCTGACGTTCAACACCGTTTTCCTCAATGTGCGTTCACGCTAGTACCTGTAACCCGTAACCGTTTCGGCCACCGTGTTTTACCACACGTTCGTATTAGAAACGTATGTTTTTTTTCTGCTCCCCCAGAAATACCATCACAACAACACGCTCCGGTACACGGTTCCGGTTCTGTTCGACGAACTGTGCTTCGTCGCACCGATAGCGCAGCAAATGAGCCAGTGGCGAGCCGTGTTCACCGCGTTCGACGTCCGGCTCTGGTATTGTTTAGCCGCCACGTTCGTCGTGGCCCTTGGCACCTGGACGCTGATCAAGCGCACCACCGACAGGCCGTTGAACATCGACACGCTGGCTCTGCAACTGTTCCAGATGTTCCTGATGGTGCCGCTGAACCGGTTGCCGAATAACGTGCCCGAGCGATTGATGATCGTGTCCACCGTGCTGTTCGGGTTCATCACGGCCACCAGTCTGCAGGCGGTCATGGTCAAGTATTTAAGCTATCCCAAGTACGAACGTAACATGGCCACCCCGCAGGACGTGTACGACAGTGGAATGCCTATAATAGTTGCGTCCAACAATCTCATAATGATGTTCGGCTCGGACGAAGAATCTCTGTTCGTCAAACTGTCTGATCGGTTCAGCATAAGCAAATCCATAGACATTCTAATGGAAGTGGCACAGAAAAGGGTAACTGAATATTAAAATGCTATCAACGATTTTCTCGATACAACGTTATGTTGATACCGGGTTTGGTTCAGTATTTTTTATGGATGTACACCACGCTCGTGCGTTTTTCGTTTAGTTCCACGGCTTTACGAAAAAATCAAAGTGTATTATTATATATCCAATTCGTTAACATACTTAAGAGACAATTATCGTCGTTAATTTCGTTTAAAATTACTGTTTTCGAGTATGGTACAGCGCGGTATTAAACCGCACGTAATTTCGTAACACGCAAATGTTCAAGGATAAAAAATGTTATTAGTCATTAATGGTCGAATAATGTAAAAAGTAGCTCCTCAGAGAAAATAATTAATTATTAATTATTATTGAAAATATCAAATAACTAACAATAATCGTACATACCTACTTACTTAATAATTAATAAATAAACAACACTTTCTTTTTTCTACTCCAGTTTTTCCTGAATTATTATTTTTTTTATTTTTTTTTTTTTTTTTTTTTTTTGTTATTCTTGACAAGTTTGAAATCTACTGAAAATTGTTGATTTTTAACTAATTCTAGATCTAAAAGTAAACGACAAACTTAAAATATATATATATCAAAGAGAAAAAAATTATCCTGCATTGTAAAATCGATACATTTTTTGCTTTGTTCCGAATCCAAAAATAATTGAAAATCATATTTTATCAAGATTATTCAGACGATTTCATTATTTATTTTCAGTAACGGTTCAGACAACTTATTTCACATTTATGTGGATAAGATAAAATATATCTATTCAAATAATTGAACCGTAACGTATGATGAATAAACGAAATGTACTCGCGAAAGGAAAAAAACAACAATAATGTATCATTTGGAATTTTTCGATTTGTTCCATGTTGTTTCGCTGTACTCGTGGACCTGATTTGCAACAGTCGTCCATCGCGATGGGAAGGAAAAACGATCTGGTCACAATAATCCCGAGCACGTACGTCAGCGACAACAGAGTACTGCTGCACATAGTGGACGCCTGTCCGCGGACGTTCCACTTCGTCTACCTGGTGCGCCGGGATCTGCCGTTCATGGACGCCATCAACCGCATCATTACCACGTTCGTGGAGACCGGTATCGTGAACCACTGGTTCACACACGGCCAACTGTATCGGCCGATATCCGACCACCACCATCCGAAAGAATCGCACCAGGTGTTCACCATGAAGAACGTGGTCATCGCGTTCCTGTTCCTCATGGCCGGATTGACCATCAGCGGTGTCGTTTTCGTCGCCGAGCTCGTCTACCACCACAGGATCACCGGGCCGATAGCAGCGCCGCCCAGCATCCGGTATCCGAGAGGACCTTTGACCGTCAAGTGGTTTTGAACGCACATGCCACATTGCCGCTGCAACACTGCAACATATTAATAACGTGCACATGAACATCACCTCATTTTCGCCCCGTAGTACGTGCACAGCGACCCGCTGTGGTCGGACACCAATCGATTGTAAATAACGATTTTGTAGGCAATCGTTGAGTTAGTTTTAGAACTAGAAGTACAGTTTTTTTTTAACTCGTAGATCAACAGTAAACCGGAAAAGTAAATACGAGCGCGGCTTTGGAATTTTGATTTTCAACGTTCACCACCGAAAACCATACAGGGTGCATCGTACAAAGTCGTTGTGTGCTGTCAGCGATCCCCTGTACGAGTTATGTTACTTCGATAATGATAAAAAATAAAACTCCGAAACCAAACTTTCAATCGATGTCCAATGTTGAGCAATTTTTCCGACCAACCGAGTTCCGGGTGTTGAGTTTTTGAACTTATTATAATGATAGGACACCGCTGTTTGCACGTAGAGAACACCTTGAGAAGATTTACATAAAACAACAGCGTTTTGTACCGAAAAAATAATCGAAAGTGACGTTCAAAAGTAAAATTAACTATGTAACTCGTATATATTTTATCGCATTATAAAAATAATTTAACAGTTTGTTTAATATAGCTAAAAAAAAAAAATTAGCACAAAAAAATAAAAACGTGGAAAATCACCAATTCGACAGCACAAACGACCAATTATTTGTATTCTAAAGCAATATATTTTGTAGTGTACAAACAAAAACGTATAAGAGAAATGAAATTATTGTTTTTTATTTTATAGTATAGGAGTTATATATATATATATTACAAAATATAGTAACAATCGCAAACAAAAATGGAATATTTTTTAAGTTAATATTATTTATAAATGCAATATCAACAACTTTCAGAAATTCAATAAGTTAAATAAACCCAAAATATTTAGCATGTTTTAAGTGTTTTAAGAAATACGTTTTATGTGACGTTTCCATCAATTAGACAGTATCTTTTTTTCAAAAAGATTAATCACTACACATAATAATATGCAATTGTTATTCTTGTCTACACATATCAATGGTAATGCTTATTATTTGTAAGTATAGATAAAATATTACTTATTGAAGTTTTAATTGTAGATATTAATTCATCTAAATAATCAAATTTAAGTAAGTATCTAAATATTCTATATGAATTAAACGATAATTATGAAACATCTTAGTAGAAAATATTACAATTTAATATAAAATAATTATATGATATTGTACCAAATTGTTGTAGTAGAGATACAATGAAAATATTTTGAAAAGCTAATAAGAAATAATTTTTATTTAAGTTCTGAAATTTAAATGTATGACGTTAATTAGTACCGTCGTAATAATATATTTTTCTTTAATGTGTATGCGATTATGTCAAAAATATTAAGCTTGTGTTTAGAGCAGTAAGTATGTCAAAACTCATAATAAAGCATCGCATGTATCTTTTAAATTATCAAACACTTAATGTTCACAAGTTTATGAGAAATATTCTATAAGGTTAAATAAATTAACTCTTCCAAACAAGACTGTTAAAAAGTCTACAATCATGAAAACTGTGGTTTACTTTTATATACAAACACCCGTATGATTTAATTTCGTAAAATGTTTCAATGGATTATTTTTTATCTAGGTGTAATAGTATAATAATGTATAGTATAATAAAAACTTGTGTTTTAAAAATTTTTAACGTTTCGTTAATAATTATGTTCATTGTCTTACTTTAATTCCTAAACGTTCTTAAATTATGTCGTAAAAACATATTTTTAATGAAAAATAGATTGAAGAATGTATTTATTTTTTTATTAGTTATTTGATGCAGTCAATAATGTTATTTTGATGGGATTTTACTAAATTAATACGTTTTAAATTGAAATATCATATTACTTAGAATACAATTAATAATAATCGTAACTTATAAAAGCCAGAATTAAATTTTAAGTTGTTATAATCGCCCATCGATACCAATACAGTCCAATGATAATCTTGATAAGTCTGAAAGTAGAGAATACGCAATAATTTCTATTTTAAATTGCTCGGTTTTGACTTAAGAAAAAACGAATTTCAACATATTTGTAATAATTATAGTTATAATATACAATTACGCAAGTAGCTACATTCAATGATTCACAAATGCCATTATTCAATTTAAAAGCAACATGTGTATGTTGCATATCAGAAATATGCTAAAAAATACAATTTCTTAATACTTTACAGGAAAAATCCATCTTGAAACATACAGTGCATAGCACAAATTTTATATACACGTGCTCGTACACAAATACACTTGGAAAATCAGTGCGATAAGTTTCAAACGGCAGTTCTATCGCTTGCAATCTTCTACTCCGCGTTTCAACGTACAAACGTACAAAATTGGGAGGGAATCGTTTTTTCTAAAGGACGAAAAGACAATAAAAAAAATAATAAAAATTAATTATCAGTTAAACTTGGAACTTAATTAATTATTGTTAATTTTTAAAATGAAATGACAAAGTTTAATCTCCTTTGCTTTATTGCATATATTAATTTATGAATAAGCTTAAAGGACTTAATCTTGATGTTATTTTTTCTGGGTCATGGCCTTTTCGCCGAAATCCTCAGAAACGGGCGGGAAACGGATTTTCCGCAAACGCTAGCGCGTGGAACGCGTCTATTATTTAACACGAACATTTTAACGATTTCCCGGCCCCGATAACGGCTTCAATGTGTTCGTCGAAGTCCGCTGTCATGTAGCAGTTGAGGTACGCGACGATGGATCACGGCTGTCCCATTAACGTTGTTCTAATATGTGACCGATTATCGGTACGGTCTGCAAGACGCGATTTGTGGCGATGATAATATTTTTATTTTTATGTTTATCGGCCAGTCATCTGAAACGGAACGTTGTCACTTGTCAGTTCAGTTAAAACGCCATAGCCAAACGTGTACCTAACGAAATCAATTACCGAATCGTCATATTCCCTCGGTGTAATGGCAATTATTCGCAGTATTATATTATTGGATTCACCGGATTTTCCGATTTTCCCAAAAATCGTATTTTCCAGTAACATTTTTACAACCGCGATTCGCGGATATAAATTACACACAAAATCGGACGACTGCGATGCACCTCTCGGATCAGAAACTCGTCTACGGACGGGGTGTCGAACACTAATCTCGACACAGTGCTATGAGGTCCTCGACCCATCGCGCAAGGTAGACAGGTTCGCAATACGTCCGTGAAAACAGATGTCGACCACGTGTCGCCCGCCTTTTGCGGACCGTACGTGTCTGCGCGTCGGACCATGTCCGTTCCCGGAGGGTTCTGTTGAACGCAGCACACGTGTCACGTTTCGTGGCGACACGGACTCGTAACGCGCGAACGCCAACGGGACGTGACGTATCGCGTTCGATTCCGTTCCGCATTGTTCGTGCACACGAACGTTACGGTTCCGCCCGAGTCCGGCGGTAAGGTCTCGTCCCGTTTCACGTGCACGCGCCCTGCCCCGCGCGCGTTCGGTTTCCGCGCCACCGGGCCCGGTCAGGCACGTAGCCAGGGGGAGGGGGGTGTTACAGGTGTAGTTCCACCCCCTCCCCCATTCAACCGTTACTTAATTCTTGAAAAAGGTTCATCGTGAACCGCGATGAAAACATATTTATCATAACGAAATACATACATAACAACAACGTAAAGCCGGGATCCAGCTTCTCATTACACCGTTATGTCTAATAAACCAAAGCCGTGGTCTTCGGTCGTTTCATGCGCGATTCAAAATAGGTGCATACGACCAAAATGTACGTTTGAAGTTTTATTAAAATACTTTCCCGTACACATGTGTAATGAAATAATGTGTTTGTATGATTGTACAATAGAGTATAAAACAGAGTAATTATTTTGTCGTGTGCGATTATGAACAACCCCCCCCCCCTTTTGAAATACCTAGCTGCGCGCCCGGGCCCGGCGATAACGCGCGTGTCGTGCAACCGCGGCGCAACGTTGGACGGCCGGGCGGGCACCGTGGCCGGTTCGACTGCGGCGCCCGATGCACTACTCGGATGCACGACTGGCTGGTGCCGCTGCTCCGGTCAACGCGGTCCGCAGCGCGCAACCCGCGTACGACCGCAAGCTAGCCGCTCGGGTCCCGGATGCGCGTTGCGCGACGTGAATAATACGGGGCGACCGCGTGCACGGTACGCGCGTTTACCGCGCGGTCCAAGAACCCCGGACGGGCGCCGACGAATTGATCGCGTCCGCGTCGGCCCAACGTTCCAGCTTCACGCCCGCCGGCCGCAGCGAGCGCATGTACACGGCTTCGGCCTGCTGAGTGATTCGGCCCGAATCTGAGCGTTCAACAGCGTTTTCGCGTGTAGCGGTACCGTTTCGATAACATTTTTTTTTTTTTTTTTCATTTAGCTGTAACCGTAAGTAAAAACGTTTCGTTTCGACTGGTTACCGTTTCCACATCACCACCGAACATTGGACGTCGTGAAAAAAGGCTCATCGAATCACGGAAACGGTTGATTGCAACCAACATGATTAACCAAAGTTAGGGTAACTTGAGGCTAAACAAAACGTTTCCCGAGTAAGCAGGAAAATTTGAAAAGAAACAAATTTGTGTCGAAAGCAGGGAATAGGAAAATAAACGAGAAATTTATAGCTGTTAGGTCGGACGATAAACTTGATAAAGCTGGTTAACAGTTTGAAAAGTTTTCTTAACCATTCGACCCAGCCTGCGTGCGTAAAAAGAAATATACAAATTCCAGCAATTGTAATTAACGATAATAATTACCAGGATAATTTACATTCGAACTATGTAATATGTATCACCATGTAAAATACATATAACATATTGTAGTCATACCCTAGTCATACATTTATTATATTTTAACTATACATAGTCATACTTACAATAACATTTAATCAAATTAATATTATATTGGTAAATTTTATTTATTAGGAGAAAACCATAATCTTATATGAGTGGCAATCATATAACATAATATTCAAAATCATATCATATAATATCTTTCGATTATACATTAGTCACTAATTATTTATCATTAGATATATGTCTCTTGATATGAACATCACAAATCAGATAATTGTAATGAATCGTAATATATTATCTATTAATTGAAACACACGAAGAGATTATTATAAGTAGGGTTCGGGACTTGTTGCATTTGCATATTGCTTAATGCAGAATAGTCTAAGTAAGATTTAAATTTGTTTTACGTCATAACAGATTCAAATACAAAAATTTTAATTGCATATTTTCGCATATTTTGCCGTTTTTTAAGTAAAATGCATATTTGACAAATTTTGGCAGTTTAATTGATATTTAAAGTATATTTACGCAGTTTTTGTTTAAGTACATTAATTAATTACATTATTAATTATTATTATTAAATTATTTAACTACATTTATTTTAAAGGTTAACTTTACTTATTTTTTACTTCCATGCGTTATTCAATATACCTAATCACTCTTAATAAGTAATTGTTTCCGTATAGCGAGGTTTATTAATAAAGATGAGATAATAACATAATTAACTGGATTTGGCAACTAGGGAAATACTTAATTATTCCTGCGTATACTATCGACGATAAGTTATCTACTTATCGTAAATCGTTTTAGAGTAATATTACGTAAAAGGAAAATAAGAATTCAGTTTGTTTTCGGGTGTCGTGGCTTTTAAAATCGTTATTCTTGTAGCTCTTGTAATTTTAAAGATGCCAAAAATAACAAGTGTATTAAACAATATATCACCGAGTTTGGAAAAACAAATTTTCATAGTAGGAGAAGACGAAGAAAACGAAATCGAATATA